TTCAAGTTGTGTGTCAACCTCGAGGCATGTAAGTGTGGCCGTCTGTGCATATTTATGTGTCTGTAAGTATTCGTACATGTACGCAAGCTTAGCACGTTTCCACCGAAATCGGAAACAACGCTAATAAGTGGTATCTGCCGCCGTCTTCTGGTGGGATCGACCTTCGAATCGCTTTACCAAACGCTTCAACTCAACAATCCCTCTTCGGCTACCGGTCGGACTGTAGTCACTTTACTCGTCAACTCATGCAACATTTGTCGGAGCACGACTCATTGACGCTGTCTCCTGCAGCCATTGGCTCAGACTAGTCCCCACTTCGAGCCAATCAGAATGTGGCATCAAAGGCTCCCGACCGGTGAACTGTCGTTGCCATGTGGTACAACATTTCTCACCGTCACCAACAGGACACCCCGACGTAGTGTGTGCTTTTCCCACGTCGAGAGATTGTCGCCTGCAACTTTACATCGTACATACAGTGCACTACGTGAGTTTCCTTATTCTTCCCCAACACTAGGGTTGTGGTAGTCTATACGTCGGCAAGAGGCCAAGTATATATTTCATAGTGGATATTTTCGGATACACAGCAAGACCATTTCTCTCATTTCTCCCAATTGGCTCATTCTTACGAATCGAAAATCAGGTCACAATTTTCATGCCCCTTATCTCACCTACATCTTGTGTGTCTTTATCAAATCCACCCAATCGTGTATTGTTGTCATTTGCATTACACCAATTCATTTCACTAATTGACATGTGCAGTGATTGCATAAACCGCTTATTTTACACGAAAATGAATTTGGCCTTGAAAAATATGTCGCCTTTCAATTGATAAACTCACTTTCATTTCGAGATTAAGTGTATGCCGAAGAGACGCGTAGTTCTAACGAGAAGTCGACCTGGAACCTTCCAGAAGCGATGATTTGAAGCAAAAACAATGACGTGGGGACAGGCGGTGAGAAGCCGGTCAAGCTGGAGGGGCCATCGGCTTGCCACCTCGTGTGCAGGCAATGCCGGCTGCTGATTGGTGCTGGCTTCGAATCGCAGTCGGTTTCTGATTGGTGCTGGCCGGTCGACACTTGCCTCGGTGCCGGTAATCACAGTCTGCCAGGTCCAATGGTTGGCCTCGACGGACGGATGAGTCATGCTGAGTGAGAGGTGAGCTCACTGCCGGCTAGAGTGAAGACGTGATGATGACGACGCTTCTCTCATGATCGCCTCTCACGTGACGGGCGTCGTTATTGCGTGACGTGGAATCACGAGTCACGCAAACCGCACAGCACACTTTTGCTTGACTTGCCAGGCTGGATTGGCTGTGAAAATGGTGTCCTGCTCTGATGATGTCTGTCATGACGGGCGAATTGTCAACACATTAAAGTAGGCTTTGATAGTACAGTAAAAACTGTTTTTGTGCGGTGGATAGAGACCGTATAAAAGAAATGGTACAAAAAAATATTCTCAAATTTTATAAATGCTTACATATAATGAACAAAAACAAAATCGCATAAAAAAGAACCGCAAAAAGACAGGTTTTACTCTATTTGTTATTCTTTACTAAGAACTGGCATTGGTGGCTTGAGGTGATTTGAGGATGGACAGTTGACTTTTCTTTCATAATCAAATGAGTGGCCCTCAGCATGCGATTGCATCCCGCTTCGCTCTGCCATCAAAAAGCTCTTCTCTCGAATTCGCCTGAACTAGGCCGATCACGACACTCAATGGGATTAGCAACCGCAACGTGCCTGGCCTCGGCCAAATCACGCTTCTACAGAGGCAGCGTTGATTGACAATCGACCAAGTTACCTATTTTTGGTATGAGTAGTTTTCGAGATACGAAGAGA